AAGAAGAAAAATAATTCGTATATCTTTTGACCTATAACTCGAAGACTTAAAACTCGGTTTAGAAAAGAAGAAGAAGAAGAAGAAGAAAAATTATTTGTATATCTTTTGACTTATAAATCGAAGACTTAGAACTCGGTTTAGAGAAGAAGAAGAAGAAGAAGAAAAATTATATGTATATCTTTTGACCTATAACTCGAAGACTTAGAACTCGGTTTAGAGAAGAAGAAGAAGAAGAAGAAGAAAAAGGTATACTTAATTTAAGAGAGAACTATGAGGATGCGATTAAACTTTGAATCGATGAGAAGGCTTCAACCTCAGCGCTACAATGTCCGAAACTCCACCCGATATCTTAATCCCTCTGGCTTCTTTCTGCTTCTGAAGCGTATTCGTAGTTACGGAAGCGAAGGTAAAATCGAGATCCATTGCAGGAATTGGGACGAAGGACGGACACGGTACAGAAATATCCGAGTAATTCCAATTTACGGCGCCGCTGCAAATCATAATACCGGGCCCGTTTGGACGGCTCGCCACGGAAGCGGCCGACTTAACGACTGTTCGATACCTGGATTACATTCGAAATACGAGACACCGTTTCGTTCCCTCGACTTCGTGTACATCGAATCCTGTACTTGGTTAATTCGAATCTACAAATTTCCGTCCAAACCTCCCGCCCAGACATTTTATCGATACTTATAAGTCGTTCTCGTCTACTATACGTATAAGATTTATCCCCTCACAAAGGAATTCCTTCTTGTCGATCTTCAGAAAGAGGAGACCATCCCCTCGGTCGTAATCGTGAAAGGAATTCGAATCGCGAAACCGAAGATAATCTCCGCGAGGGAAAATGTTGTTTCGTCGTGGACAGTCGTGTTTGAGAGCCCGAATCTATCGATTCCTTGCCTCTCCTTTCCTCCTCCGGCCATTGTTGGCTGGCTGGGTTGGTGGTAGTTGGTACTGGCGGAACGCCAGAAGGCCAAGCGACGGGAGCGTTCGTCCAGGTGGAAGCGGGCGAAGGTAGCGCGGACCAGTAGCTCGGGGCAAAAAGGGTGAACTCCGAGGGAAGGCAGAGAGAGAGAGAGAGAGAGAGAGAGGGAAAGGGGCGGAGAGGATGGACCACGAAATATTTGTCAATCGCAAAGGCAGGAAGATCGGTCGGGAAAGTCGATTTAACGCCCGTTAAGGAAGCAATTCCTTTAAGAAGGGCGAAGGATGGAGGGGGATCCTCGACCTTCCTGGACTTACGACCTTTCACCGGGGAATCGCTTCCGTCCGCCATTATCGGCGGACGAATGGAACATCAATAACCAATTTCGTAAGACTAATATCGCGAAAATTAGTTTCCTGAGGTCCCTTTTCCTTCGTGCCTCCTTCCTTCCTTCCTTCCTTCCTTCCTTCCTTCCTTCCTTCCTCTCTCTTCTTCTCTATATACCCTTCGTTAAAAGATCTATCCCTACCTGCTCCGTGCTTTTTCCTAAATGTCGATCGATCGGAATCGATCCTCGATCGTCTCTCGTGATGCTCTTTTT